CTAACCCTAACCCTAACCCTAACCCTAACCCTAACCCTAAACCCTAACCCTAACCCTAACCCTAACCCACCCCACTCTCATTTACTTGCACTAACACCTCCTCACTTGCTTACTCCTTGCCCACTTTCACTGCACATCCCTGCACTGCTTTACATCCCACCACACTCTCTCATTTACTTGCACTAATTATCTACCTTCACTTTGCTCCACCAAACTTTCATTGTTTCACTGCCCTGTTTTCTTACTTCCTCACCTCTTTCTCCGCTGCTCCCTCATTCACTGACTGACCCTCTCTCCCCACAACTCTCTCATTTACATGCACCAACATCCCCCTCATTCACTGACTGACCTTCTCTCCTCACAGCTCTCTCATTAACACGCACTAACATTCCCCCACTCACTGACCCTCTCTTCCCACAGCTCTCTCATCAACACGCACTAACATCACCTGACCTGTGTAACACTTGCCTGTGATGCTCCCTGAATGACAAACTCTAGCATCCTGCCTGTTGTGCTCTCTCATAACACACAATAATACTCTTTGCTGCACATGTACTCTCACTTTATGCACTGACTGATTCCACTTCAGCACTCTCTTCCTTCTTGCTTGGTGTACCCCTCACAGCACTCTTACTTTGCGCACTAACTGTCTACACACACACTGCCCTGCTTTGAGCTTGCCACACACCCCACAACTCTTTCATTTACAAGCACTAACATCCTCTTGCTTAGAATGCTGCCTTGTTTGCTGCTTATTCCCCCTCTGAACACTCTGTCACTGATGTGCAATGATGTCTATTTACCGACACACAGCCTCTCTTCCATCAAACACTGTCTTGCTTGCACACCTCTGTGTCCATCTTTGAGCCCTTGCCACTGCTTGCTAGGGCTTATTCTGGTGCTACTGTTCTTGACTATGCCAAATGCCCCAAGCACAGCTTCCTGTTTGTGCAATTGGCATCTATTTTGGCTGTCTGCTTGCCATATGGCGCGCATTTTGTCTGCGCGCTTTTACGACGTAAAAGTGGAAGTCCATGGATCTGCAGATGTCTGGACGCGTCTTTTGGCAGTGGCTTTGTCTGGCCATCCGCTTTTGCGCCGTAAAAGTCTTGGCCTATATATATAGTGGTGGTCTCTTACAAGCAGTACTATCTTGCCCTTCAACCACTGTCTACCGATTTTTCCATTGCCCAGCTGTCGGAATCTCGCATCTTTGGGCATTGATGCTCTCTCCACCGCTGCACATGACCATCTATTTACCTTTTGCAACTGAATGTGCATTCAAAACTGCGAAACAGCCTCCAGAATGCCCGGCTAGCTATGCAGATGCCCCGTGGCGCTCGTCACGTGACTGCCGCGGCCTCCAGCGCGCGGGCACGCTCTCGTCTCTTTGCGCGTACATATACGCGCGCGCTCGAGTTGGTCCATCCGCGCGCAGCCTGTGCCCTTCCAAGCACCATCACCACCACCATCAACTGTTTAGCGGCTTGCGTAAACATCCTCACTTTCTGCTCTGCTCCTCGGATCGTCCAGCGATCTGGCATCTCTCGAAACGCCCCAGCTCATCTCCAACAGGCGACCCACTTTGGAGCAATCGCTCGCCGCGAGCAAAGGGCGCACGACCCGTCTACCTCACCAATCGCCATCATGTCAGACGAGGAGACGTACGGAGCGAGTGGGAGTGGAGGAGGAGGAGGCGACGATGAGCTGAGCTTGCCACGCGCTACTGTACAAAAAATCATCGCAGGTGAGCCATTATGCAGCTCTAAAAGTCGAGATTCGTGTCACGCGAGGGTGGTGGGGCGTACTGGGGCTCACAGCAGGGAGACGGTCTAGCTTACACGCGCTTTGCGATATCACCATCCTTTCTGCAGAGCTCATCCCAGCGGACATGTCGTGTGCGCGCGAAACAAGAGACTTGGTGATCGAATGCTGCGTAGGTGGGTAGGCTCGATGCGGGAGGGATGTTGTCATCGACACGTAGCTAAGTCGCGCACTTTTGCCCATACAGAATTCATCCACCTTCTCAGCAGCGAATCCAACGACGTGTGCGAGCGCGCCAGCAAAAAGACCATCGCTCCCGAGCACGTTGTCGCCGCTCTCAAGGTGAGTGTCGTGCTCAATCTGAATTTGGGCGAGCGGACGCGTTGCTCCGGTCTGACCTTCTCCGCGAACGTCATCCGAACAGGACCTCGGCTTCGAAGCATACACGGCAGAGATCGCAGAGATCCTTGAAGAGCACAAAGTGCAACTCAAGGTGCGTGTGTGGTTAGGATCCAAACGGCACTGTTCTGCTGTTGGCTGAGACTCTGCAATGCTCCTTTGCGCCTGTTAGGATCGTGAGCGCAAGACGGGCAAGATGGAAAAGTCGGGCCTGTCCATGGAGGAGTTGGAGCGGCAGCAGCAGCTGCTCTTTGCTGCTAGCGCCGCGCGATATGACCCTTCCTCTCACTGAGTGGGGTGCATGCGTCTCTGTGAGCGAAAAGGGGAATGCTAGAGACCGGGCGCCGGAACGCGGCACACCCACGTTGTCGATGAATGCCGCCAGACTGTTTTCGTCGGGCCGCCAGAAGACGAACTGCCACATCTTTGAAATCGGCGCTACACTGCATGGACGTCGATCCTCGATGAGGATTTGTGCTGCCGATGCGATCATCGTCGACTGCTCTTCAGAAGCCAGCTCAGCATACAGACAGCACTTTTGGAGGCGGGCACGGTTCAGTCACCAGAGTGCGCTGAGCTGTGTTGCCGAGCTCCCACGATCGCGAAACGAGCTCGCAAGGCGCTAGGTGCGCGCCACACAACCCGCTTGGACAATAGCACTTGGCTCATGCCAGACACCCGATCCTGACGGACGATCATCGGCGTCATTGTCACGCTTGGTGAGCACCCCGCGCGCTGCACTGTCGCCACTCGACTCGCAAGAGGTGGCGGTAAAGGTAGCAGGGTTGCACCACGTTGCGTGCCACCCACCACTAGACCTCGCCACTGCGCACTGTGTCGCTCGCCGTGCGATGAGCATACATGACTCAATGTTGATCTCATTCAATCTATACGACGTGCATGAGATCGGAGCGATACGGCCTGCGTTGCGCGACGGCATTCGGTCACGCACGTCACTCTTCCCACCTAGCCTTCGTCTTGCAGCTCTTCTGCCAACGGCGCAGCTTCGTGTACGCAAGGTACACGACGAGGGTCAAGGGCATCCACAGCGCCAAAAAGAGGGGTTTCGATGCGCTCATTCCCTTGAGCATCTCCAACATTTCCTGTGCGACGGACGGTAGGCAGACCAGCAACATGCAATGCGGCGTTCAAACGAATGGATTTGGCGTCGTGATCACGTGGAGGTGTGGTCGACCACGCAAGAGCAAGAGCAAGGGAGAACAGGACAGGTGGGGTACGCGTCAGCGCCCGCTTCGCTTCGGTAGAGACGGGGACGGATCGAGTGTTCGAAAGAGGTAGAGATCACGCGCA